AATATGAAGTCGATCCCTTCAATAATAGCAAAGTTACAGTCAGTTACCGCTAAAACAATGAAAATTTCAATAATTTGACCTTCAAAGACAATGTCATTAATGAGTGAAGGTCAAGGTCTTTCGGTATATTTTTAACAGTTATCTTTGAAGATTATTATGTTCAAGTTTGAAGACAATCCATTCAAAAATAACAAAGTTACAGCCAATAACAGCCAAAAAAATGAAAATTTCAATAATTTGACATTCAAAGTCAAGGTCATTGATGAGTGAAGGTCAAGGTCTGACTGGTTATTTTTAAGGGATATCCTTGAAGATTATTATGTTCAAGTTTGAAGACAATCCATTCAAAAATAACAAAGTTACAGCCAATAACATCATGAACAAGCAAAAATTGGACTTTTAACCTTGAAGGTCAAGGTCATTTATGGATGAAGGTCAAGGTTAGTGTGGTCTACTGAAAGGTCTTGTCCCAAGGGTTGTTGTGGCCAAGTATGAAGACAATACACCAAGAAATAAAAAAGTTATGATCCAGGTACAAGTTTTCGGACGGCAACGGCAACGGCAAAGGCAACGGCAACGCCGACCTGACTATAACAATACCTCTACTTTTTTTATCAAAAAAAAAAAAGTCGAGCTAAAAATAGAAAAAATGACGCAATTTCCAAAAATAGCAACAATGGCGCAATTTCTAAAAATAGAAAAAATGACGCAATTTCTAAAAATAGCAACAATGATGCAATTTCCAAAAAATAGAAAAAATGACGCAATTTCTAAAAATAGAAAAAATGACGCAATTTCTAAAAATAGCAACAATGATGCAATTTCTTAAAATAGAAAAAATGACGCAATTTCTAAAAATAGAAAAAATGACACAATTTCTAAAAAAAGAAACAATGACGCAATTTCTAAAAATAGCAACAATGACGCAATTTCTAAAAATAGAAACAATGAGGCAATTTCTAAAAATAGAAAGAATGATGCAATTTCTATAAATAGAAAGAATGACGCAATTCTTTAAATAGAAACAATGACCCAATTCTATAAATAGAAACAATGACCCAATTCTATAAATAGAAACAATGATGCAATTCTAGTTGTTGTTGTTGTTGTAAATATATATATATATAGACACACACACACACACACACCAATAAATATATAATTATGGTCATTTAATGCACAAATCTGAGAAAATTCAGTAATTTAACCTTCAAGGTCAAGGTCATTAAAGAGCCCAAGCAAATTTGGGTTTGATAAACAACAAGGTCTGGTCCTTAAGAATGTTCTCTTATAATATGAAGTCGATCCCTTCAATAATAGCAAAGTTACAGTCAGTTACCGCCAAAACAATGAAAATTTCAATAATTTGACCTTCAAAGACAATGTCATTAATGAGTGAAGGTCAAGGTCTTTTGGTATATTTTTAACAGTAATCTTTGAAGATTATTATGTTCAAGTTTCAAGACAATCCATTCAAAAATAACAAAGTTACAGCCAATAAAAGCCAAAAAAATGAAAATTTCAATAATTTGACATTCAAAGTCAAGGTCATTTATGAGTGAAGGTCAAGGTCTGGCTGGTTATTTTTAAGGGATATCCTTAAAGATTATTATGTTCAAGTTTGAAGACAATCCATTCAAAAATAACAAAGTTACAGCCAATAACAGCATGAACAAGCAAAAATTGGACTTTTAACCTTGAAGGTCAAGGTCATTTATGGATGAAGGTCAAGGTTAGTGTGGTCTACTGAAAGGTCTTGTCCCAAGGGTTGTTGTGGCCAAGTATGAAGACAATACACCAAGAAATAAAAAAGTTATGATCCAGGTACAAGTTTGCGGACGGCAACGGCAACGCCGACCTGACTATAACAATACCTCTAATTTTTTTTTCAAAAAAAAAAAGTCGAGCTAAAAATGGTATGCATTACACCCCAGGCGGTACAAATGCAATATTAACCAGGGTTTCCACTTAAGGCTGCTATATACTAAGTTTGATTACAATACCTAATTTCAAACTCTAGTTATCATCCGGAAACCATGATTTGGACCGCCCGATGGACGGATTGACCAACTGACAAGCTGACACCTATATACCCCTCTAAACTTCATTTGTGGGCGTATAATGACATCAAAGAAAAAGCAGTTACCTAATGTTCCTATAGTCCCCTAAGTACACTAATGTATGCACAGACTGATGGACAGCCGACAGAGAAGTGATCCCTTTATGTCACTGCAACTCTGTAACAGGCTACACAAAAATAACAATAACTCAAGTAGGGTTCAAACCCAGATTAAAAGGTAAACACTGTGCCATCTCTATTACAGTTAAACTCCGTTTGCTCGAATACCTCCCTTTGCTCGAACTCATCGCCAAGTCCCGGAATAGTAGAATTTTCGTCATTTGAGCTTGCTTGTAACCATTCATATAAATTTTAAGTTTCAAGTAAATAGCTGTTCTGGTTTAAGAAATATTATAGTAAAGAAATTTAAAGACATAAAAATGGACTTAACTATGTTAAAATACAATACAAAGTTATCCCCCCCCCACACTTTTTTTACTTATGAAACATGACCTGCATATCTTACTTGCGTATATATTTCAAGTTTCAAATGAATTTCTGTTCTAGTTTTAGAAATATTCAAGTACATGTTAAAATTTCAGAACATTTTCTAAGTCAATTTTTGACCTTTAATATCTTGACCTTAAGCCGGCAAAAGTGTAACATGGGTTCTGCACAATATCTTGTTGAGCCAAGATTGAAGAAAATCATTCAATAAGTGTAGGACTTACAGAGCCAACACAACATACTGTCTTATATTTGACTGTTTGATATTTGACCTTCAATTGTGACCTTGACCTTGAGCTGACATATGGGAAACATGGGTTCTGCACATCCCCTTGTTGAGGTGAACATTTGAGCCAAGTTTGAAGAAGATCCTTCCACTGGTATAGGATTTATAGAGCGGACACAATAATGGAGACAGATGGATGGACGGACGCGACAAAGGGAATCCATTATAGCCCCCCCCCCCCCATTTTGTGGTGGGGGTATAATCAATACAAAATTAGAAATGTTGTAATCAATTTGTTTGTTATGATAATATTGTTTAATATTGCCGTTTTAAGAAACGATAAAAAAAAAATATCTTGTGACATAAGTGAAATGTGCAAATGTAAATAAATAAATAAATGATGTTTACACTGACGGTTTAAGTTACAGCCGTGAAGCATGTAACGTGTTATCTTTTTATAGAATGATATTGTATGTGTGTTAATTTTAGTAAATGACTTCAAATAGATGCTGCTGTAAATTTTTTTTAAATATTTTATTGATCTTTAAAATAAAATTTATCCTATAACATATTGTTCAACAAGTTTGGAAAACTATTGCCCAATGGAACTCAACCAATTACAAAATGGATTGATTAACACAGTGTACCATTTATTAATACTCATTCGTAAACACTGGAATAATAATTCTTAACATTTAAAAGAATTGACATATTCGACAAACTGATAAACAATTGTAGCGACATATTTATCAATCGACTGATGTAAGCTGGAAAACGTTTAGCCTTTGTCCAACGTGATAATAGTTCAACCTCGGTTTAAGCGCGAACTACCGATCTCTCGAAAAAAATTGCACAGGCCCTCAGAGTTTGAGCAAATGAAGTTTGACTGTATATAATGACTATAACAAGCAAATTCGTTGAATTTATATCCCCCGCCGAGTACTGGTTATTATTAACACAAAAATTAAAGACATAAGGCTTTATTTATATATTAATCATGGCATAAACTGTAAAATTCTTTGAACTTGAAGCCTTGTACCTTCAAACAAGAAGAGTTTTTAAGTTTTCACTATATACATATAAGGAAAATCTATGACCCCTGGAGTGGGGCCAATTTTGACCCCAGGGCTAAAATTTGAACAATTTTGGCAGAGGACCTAAATGTTATATCATATACCAAATATCAAAGCTCTAGGCCTTGTACTGTCAGACAAGATTTTTTAATTTTGCATTTTTGAAACTCCTTTTCTGGCCCCGTGTGACTGATGATTGTGATTGAAAATTACAAAATTTTACTAAGTCAAGGGCAATAACTCTAAAAATACTAAAAATATCCAGGCGAAAATACCCAGGTGCACAACTACACATACTGATCAACATTCCTGTAAAGTTTCATGACTCTAGGTAAAATACTTTTTGAGTTACATGCGACACAAGTTGAAAATTACAAAATTTTACTAACTCAAGGGCAATAACTCTAAAAATACTAAAAATATCCAGACGAAAATACCCAGGTGCACAACTACACATACTGATCAACATTCCTGTAAAGTTTAATGACTCTAGGTCAAATACTTTTTGAGTTACATACGACACAAGTTGAAAATTACAAAATTTTACTAAGTCAAGGGCAATAACTCTAAAAATACTAAAAATATCCAGACGAAAATACCCAGGTGCACAACTTCACATGCTGATCAACATTCCCATAAAGTTTCGTTGAATTCCAGCCATTAGTTGCAGAGAACTACTCCGGAAACGAAATTCGGACAAAATTTTACTGAGTCAAGGGCAATAACTCTAAAAATACTAAAAATATCCAGACGAAAATACCCAGGTGCACAACTTCACATGCTGATCAACATTCCCATAAAGTTTCGTTGAATTCCAGCCATTAGTTGCAGAGAACTACTCCGGAAACGAAATTCGGACAAAATTTTACTGAGTCAAGGGCAATAACTCTAAAAATACTAAAAATATCCAGACGAAAATACCCAGGTGCACAACTTCACATGCTGATCAACATTCCCATAAAGTTTCGTTGAATTCCAGCCATTAGTTGCAGAGAACTACTCCGGAAACGAAATTCGGACGGACGGATGGACGGACGGACGGAAGGACGGACGGACAACGCCAAAACTATATCCCCCTCCCGATTCCATCGGCGGGGGATAACAAAACAATGTTTGTAATGAATAAATAACATACTGTTGCGTATAAATTGTCCACTTCTGATACATATTCGTATGTATTACTTGCTGCTCGTGCATTCATACTAGCCAATGATTCCCGTACACTTAACTTGTTATAAGGTGGCTCTTTCTTTGAACCTAAGTAAAATAAAAACATCATGATCATTATAGAAATGTAATTGTTTGCATTTTTGATCATTAACTGTAAGGCCTTACAACAAGTAAGCAGACATACTGCCATCAACCAAATTGTCTGGAAGAAACAAAGAGCAACAACCCCAAGTTTCAAAACTGTGCTAAAAAGATGTTATAAAAATGTACTAAAAGCGATTCAACCCCCCCCCCCCCCCCCCACCATTTGAACTCGACCATCAATAATTATTACAATTAATTGCCATGTTAAAAGAGTATAATCATCTTTTTCCCGTTGTTTTTGTAAAAGAAGGAGAGAGGTAGAAAAAGTGTGATAAATATGTAGAAAAATTAGCAGAATTTGAATTAAACCTGTTAATAATTATGTAACATTTATGTAAAAAAAAAATATAACAATCCATGGTTAATTTACCCCAAACCAATATGCTTTGTTTGTTTTGAATTTTTTTGCATAATACATTATCATAGATAATTGTTATACTTATTATATGAAAATTGATTGAATGTTTAAATATAATGTATATTGTAATTATAACTTTTATAGATGAAAAAATACAAAACAAAACAAAACAATCCATGGTATCATTATAATATATTTTATATTAAGAGCCACCTCGATGCCAGGGGGGGGGGGGGGGCAACACTCAATTATTTTTTATTTAAACAAATCTTGAAAAAAAAAAATTATGGAAAAAAAAAAATCAGTTTTTCCTTTTTTTTTTAAATTTTAATGTAGGTCTAGTCAAACTTGTTGTTATGAAACAATGTCATAATGTTCAGTTTTAAATCTGAAACTGCACATGGTCCAAATTATGAGCTGTACAACAAAGGAAAAGAAAGTAGGTCACTTAGTCAAATTATCTAGGTCAGCAGATATCAAAGTTCAATTTTTAGATGTTAAACAGTTCACATGGTTCACATTTCATACCTGTACATAAAAGGACAAGATAGTACATGTAGGTCAGTTGGTAAAATTATCTACACAGCTGATAACAATGTTCAATTTTAGGTGTCAAACTATACACATGGTCTGAATTTTATAGCTGTACATCAAAGGACAAGAAAATAGCTGCCCTTGGGCAGGGCAAAATTTTGACCCAAAGGCTTTAATTTAAGCAATGTTTCATGTTGAAAATTAAGCTATAGCTTTATCCTATTCAAAAACTTTTTTTTTTTAGTTTCTGTTTTTACTATATGCACATAATGAAAATCAACAACCTACTTCTTGGGCGTGGCTAATTTTGAACCCAAGGCTATAATTTGAGAAATCTTAAAAGAGGTCCATTACATAATGTGCTGAATATCTAACCTCTAGCCTTTGTCAATTCAGAAAAGAAGGTTTTTTATGTTTTTTACTGTATAAATATAAGGAAAACCTATGACCTATGACCTGATATTTTATAATACGTATGCACATTTATAACGTCGGTTTTCAGTGGATAATCGTGACGTATATATAGTTTTATATACACGGCTGCTGTCGATTTATAAAGAAATCTCCCTTTATTCCTCTAAAAATGATGCTTGCTGTATTATAAATTCGTTATAAAGATATTTGACAGGTTATATGACCGTATATAAGCGGTTGTTTGCAATATAACCCTCGCCTAGCGGCTCAGGTAATATTTACAAACAGGCGTTTATATAGGGCCATATAACCTGTCAACAATCTTTATAACTAATAATATACCAAATATCAAAGCAGCTCTAAGACTTGTACCTTCAGACAAGAAGTTTTTAAGTGTTTAGAAAACCTATGACCCCCTGGGGCGGGTTTAATTTTGACACTTGGGACAAAATCTGAACAACTTTTGCAGAAGACCTACAGATGATATCATTTACTATGTATCAAAGACTTTTTAAGTTTAAACTACATACATGTAAGGAAAACCTATGACCCCCCAGGGCGGGGACAATTTTGACCCTAGGACTATAACTTGAATAACATTGGTAGAGGAACTTTAGGTGATATCATATACAAAATGTCTAAGCTCTAAGCCTTGTACATTCAGACGAGAAGATTTTTTAAAGTTTTTTATATATATACATAAAGGAAAACCAATGACCCTCAGGGGCTTGCCAATTTTGAGACTAGGGACAAAATTTGGACAACTCTGGTATAGGACCTTATCCTATTTGATATGATATATCAAATATCAAAGCTCTGGGCCTTGTACTTTCAGACAAAAAGATTTTGCATTTTTGAAACTCCTTTTCTGGCCCTGTGACCTATTTATGCAACAGACAAGAACCATTTGAACAACTTTGAAAGGGGACAACCTAAGGATCATTCCTGTAAAGTTTGGTTACTGTGCAATCATTGGTTTCAGAGGAGATGTTGTTAAAACAAGATTGTGAATAATGCTATGCCACCCGCATTTATACAACACTAAACAGACTTTTTTCTATACAATTGAACATTGCCATAATGTATAAATCCTTGATCTATCTAATTCTTATTATCAGATAAGTGGATACAACAAAAATTTCACCACAACCTATTTGTCAACAAAAGAGCACATGTCAATGTTTGTGGTTAAATCTACTGTTATTCTAACCAGAAATGTGTCCATAGGACACAGGTGCTCCCACACTCCACTGTTTTGTCAATCTTATGACTCTAGGTCAAATATTTTTGGGCTACATGTGCCACAAGTTGAAAACTAAAAATCTTTAACTAAGTAAAGGGAAAGAACTTTACAAATACTGAATATACCCACAAGCGAACCCCAAGGTGCATAAATACACATGCTGACCATTCTTGTAAGTTTTCAGGCCTACAGGTCAAATACTTTTTGAGTTATGCATGAACAAGCTGAAAATTGCAAATTTACTAAGTCAAGGGCAGTAACTCTAACAAAACTGAAAAAAATCAACATGCAAAAATCCCAGGTGCATTGCTTCAAACTGATGTTGATCATTATTCCTGCAAAGTTGACTGATTCTAACTCAACCACTCAAGGAACAAATAACACAACATAATGAAACGGTTTTTACTAAGTCAAGGGCAATAACTCTACAAATACTGGATAAATCCACAAGCAAAATCCAAGGTATACAACTACATATGCTGATCAACAAGTTTCATGACTAGATTACATACATTTTGAGGTACGCATGACACAAATTGAAAATTGTAAATAAAGGGCAATAACTCATCAAAGGACAAAACATATCAATTAGCAAGCGAAACCCCTGATGCAACACGTCACATGCTGATCAACATTCCTGTAAAGTTTCATGACCCTATGTCAAATACTTTTTGAGCTACATGTGACACAAGTTGAAAATTGCAAATTTTTACTAAGTCAAGAGCAATAACTCTAAAAATACTAAATAAATCTAAACGAAGATACCCAGGTGCATAACTACACATGATGATCAACATTCCTGTAAAGTTTCATGGCTCTAGGTCAAATACGTGTTGAATTACATGCGACACAAGTTGAAAATTGCGATTTTTTTACTAAATCAAGGGCAATAACTCTAAAAATACTTAATATATCCACAGGAAAATACCCCGGTGCACAACAACACATGCTCATCAACATATCTGTAAGGTTTCATGACTCTAGGTCAAATACTTTTGAGCTAATTTTTTTTTTTTGTGCGACATAAAAGAGAATGGACGGACAGATGGACGGACGTACTTACGAAATGGTACTTAGGTGACTTTTCCTTTGATCTTTTCAGCCATTTTTAGTCCCACAAGGCCCAAAAAAAGACACACAAGTAAAAACAGGATCAAAGGAAATGTTCCGTTACCCATTGTTCTCCAAGTCACACAAGTACCTCTTGGTTTGTACGGAGGGACAAGGGTAAATCTAAATGCCCCCCTAAAGAGGGTGCACAATAAAAGGTCAGAGTAGGGATCTATCATTAACAAAAGAACAAAATTGATAGATCCCTAATCTGACCTTTTATTTGAATAACAATACATTTAACCACAAACATTGACATGTGCTCTTTTGTTAACAAATGGGTTGTGGTGAAATTGTTATTGTATCCACTTATCTGATAATAAGAATTAGATTAGATATGATCTATGCATGCAGTTGAGTCTATTGAATTTGGTGGTGAAGGTCATATTTCACATGGCCTAAATTTCATTACTGTACACCAAAGGACAACACAGTAAAACACTTTGTTAAAATTTACTGATTTCAAAGTTTAATTTACATCTTAATCTGTGCACATGGTTCACATGGTTCAAATTTCATAGCTGTACATCAATGACAAGAAAGTAGGTCACATCATCAAAATCTAGGTCATCTGATATCAAAGTGGTCCAAATTTCATGGACAAGAAAGAAGGTCAATGTCCCCTTGGGCAGGGCAAAATTTTTACCCAAGGGTTTAATTCAAACAATCTCAGACCCACTAAACAATGTTTCATGTCAAATATCTAAGCTGTAGCTTTCTCCTATTCAGACAAGAATTTGAAACAGAGTTACCAACGTCCCCCGCCTCGGGGAAGTTTTATATGAAGCATAAAATTGTGCTATTTCAAAAGAATGAGGTATGGATTTCAGGACTTTCAGTCCAAAATTATGATCAATGCTAGATCTGCAAATGCAACAATAAATTTATTAAAGAAATACCCTGTAATAGACTACGTTAACATTTGTCCTCCAAGTGTGACCTTGACCTTGGAGGTAGGTGACCGGTTGTTGCGCATGACACATCGTCTCATTATTGTGAACAATTGTGGCAAGTATTTACAAAATCCCTTCAAAGATAAGAAAGTTATGGACCGGACACGACATATACCATCAAATAGACAATGTTGACCTTGAATGAGCAAGTGCGACCTTGACCTTGGAGGTAGGGGTCTGGTTGTTGCGCATGACACATCGTCTTATTATAACAAAGATTTGTGCCAAGTTATTTCAGATTCCTTTGATAATTGACAAAATTATGGACTGGACACTAAAGTGTGACGGACGGACGGACAGACGGACATACCAACTTTTGATGTTTATGAGGCAAATCAGCTCATAAACACCACCTGGACCAACGTCCATAAGCAAAATAAGCTCATAAAAAAAAAAAAAAATAGCTCTTAATTTGAATTTTATGAGTTTTTGTTCTTTATTTAACTACGGAATGAAGCTCATAATAATCAAATGTTTGCTTGGATGGACAGACGGACGGACGTACCAACTTTTGATGTTTATGAGGCAAATCAGCTCATAAACACCACCTGGACCAACTTCCGTAAGCAAAATAAGCTCATAAAAAAAAAAAAAAATAGCTCTTAATTTGAATTTTATGAGTTTTTGTTCTTTATTTAACTACGGAATGAAGCTCATAATAATCAAATGTTTGCTCGGACAGACGGACGGAGCCTATTTCTATATCCCCTTTTTTCTTCGAAAAGGCGGGGGACAAAAACATTTGTTTTAGTTTCTGTTTTACTATGTGTACATAATGAAAATCAATGCCCCCCGGGCAGGGCCAATTTTCACACCAGGGGCAAAATTTAAACAACATTGGTAGAGAACCTATAGATGATATCATATACAAAATATCAAAGCTCTAAGCCTTCAGACAAGAAGATATTTTACGTTTTTACTATATGTACATTATTATATTTAAGTGATTACCAATGACCCTACAGTGGGACCAATTTTGACCCCATGGTTATAATTTGAACAATCTCCTTAGAGGTTCACTAAGCAATGTCTTATGCAAAATATCTTGGCTTTGTCAATTCAGAAAAGAGGATTTTTCAAGTTTTTACTATATACATATAAGGAAAACTATCACCCCCAGGGGCGGTGCTAATTTTCACACTAGAGACAAAATTTGAACATTTTTGGTACAGTACCTATAGATGATATCATATACCAAATATCAAAGCTCTAAGCCTTGTACCTTCAGACAAGAAGGTATTTTAAGTTTTTACTGTACATACATAGTAAAAATCAATGACCCCCGGGGAGGGGCCAATTTTGACCTCAGGGCTATCATTTGAAAAATCTTGGTAGAGGTTCATTACACAATTTTTCATGCAAAATATCTATGCTCTAGGCCTTGTGGGTTTTTACAAGAAGATTTTTTAAAATTTATTCTTATAATTCCTTTTGGTTGCCATGGCAACAAGATTTCTGCATGGAATGAAATTCTTTGAACAACTTTGGAAGCCCTAAAAATATACAATATACACTGTAATATACAATAAAGCCAACATGGAGATGTAAGTCATGTAAGTCATGTAAACAGCACCACTTTTGTCTTTGAAAAGCAGAGCTAATATTCTCTCCATTACAAAAAAATACATACATGTATAATTATGCTTCGTCTATTTTGAGATCTTAACAAAGAAAATTTAAGTTAAATTCATATTGAAACTTAAAATTCAATGTATTTAAACTAATATACTACTCCATGGGCCACTGTTTTCTCTGTTGATAGACAGCCTTGCCAATAAGATGAGCAGGGACATAATCTAAACCCCAAAAATATTATAGCCATGGAAGAGATTTATTGATTTGTACAAGTATGATGACAGATGAAGCTTTTGACAGCATGTATACTGCGTGTACAATTGTCTGAATTTCTGGACTCTTTGTGTAAGCATTCAATACAATGATTCAAAATCCAAGATGGCAGCTTACACTTGATAAATAGGGGAGAAGGTTTTTTGCAGACTGGTATTTCTTAGAGGCAGGTTACCCATAGTGTTGTTCAACTAATGTGAAATCATATACTTTTTATGGGCACCTTGACAGCAGGAGGTATTTCACAAGTTTGTTGACGTACATCTAGGTGTGCATTGCGGGTTTTATTCTAATGCAGGACATTTTTATGCTGGCACGCCTCACTACCTAAGACCTTGCAAGCTCTTGCTTTGGCCTGCCAGATTCCCAGAGCTTTATCAGATTTAAAAAGTGTGACACATGCTTCAGAGGGCCATTCCTTGTCCCCTTGTGCAGCCTGTCTCTCATGCAGAACTTCATGCTGCCTTACAAGAGGAGTGGAACAGAATTCTACAATCAAAAATGAGTCAGGGGTTGAGGGTGAATTCCCTTAATTATCAGTCCAAGGTAGTTCCTGATCAAATGGTCCATTACAGCATGCCAGGTTGTTATATAATGCCTGTGGACACTGTACAAGATACTGAAACTAATATTCCAAGCAGTCTTGATATAATCACTTTTACAAATTTCCAGAAATTTATGAATTTTCAAGTTTTCTAATTTTACACTCCTGTTTCAGTTCAATAATTCAACTCAGATGACTAATTCATACATTTTATCATATGAATAAAGAATACAAACAAACAAAATTAATGTGTTCCATGTGTTAACCTAAATAATAATAATAATTAAAGACTACAAAAGTGGCCCTTATCAAAAAGTAGTATAGATTAATTCACAGTTGTGTGCATGTCATATCGAAATTGAACATTTTCTTATGAAAAATTAGTTTCAAATTCAATGTTTATGAAAACAACATAATCAAAACAAGATATGTTTGTAAAACATGTATGCCCCCTATCAGCAGCCAATTAGTCATGTGATAAGGTTATTATGCATGACTTCTGACCCAGTGATCAAACAATTAAAAAGGATTATCAAGTATCTACTGGTCATGACCTTAACCTTTGACCCCTTGACCCAAAACTCAATAGGGGTCATCTGCTGGTCACGACCAATCATCATACAAAGTTTGAAGTTCCTAGGCCTAAGTTTTTAGTTAATTGATCGGAAACCGTTTTTCCTACAAGGTCAATGTGACCTTGACCTTTGACCCCTTGACCCCAAAATCAAAAGGTCATCTGCTGGTCATGACCAATCACCATACCAAGTTTGAAGTTCCTAGACCTAAGGGTTCTTAAGTTATTGATTGGAAAGCATTTTTACCTACAAGGTCAATGTGACCTTGCCCTTTGACCCCTTAACCCCAATATCAATAGGGGTCATCTGCTGGTCATGACCAATCACCATACCAAGTTTGAAGTTCCTAGGCCTAAGGGTTCTTTAAGTATTGATCGGAAACCGTTTTTACCTATGAGGTCAATGTGACCTTGACCTTTGACCCCTTGAACCCAAAATCAATAGGGGTCATCTACTGATCATGACCAATCATCATATCAAGTTTGAAGTCCCTAGGCCTTAGGGTTCTTTTGTTATTGATCGGAAACCGTTTTTACCCAAGAGGTCAATGTGACCTTGAACTTTGACCCCTTAACCCCAAAATCAATAGGGGTCATCTGCTGGTCATAACCAATCACCATACAAGTTTGAAGTTCCTAGGCCTAAAAGTTCTTTAGTTATTGATCGGAAACCGTTTTTGCTTACAAGGTCAATGTGACCTTGACCTTTGACCCTTGACCCCAAAATCAATAGGGTCATCTACTGATCATGACCAATCACCATACCAAGTTTGAAGTTCCTAGGCCTTAAAGTTCTTTAGTTATTGATCGGAAACCATTTTTCCTTACAAGGTCAATGTGACCTTGACCTTTGACCCCTTGACCCCAAATCAATAGGGGTCTTCTACTGATCATAACCAATCACCATACCAAGTTTGAAGTTCCTAGGCCTTAAGGTTCTTTAGTTATTGATCGGAAACTGTTTTTCCTTACAAGGTCAATGTGACCTTGACCTTTGACCCCTTGACCCCAAAATCAATAGGGGTCATCTACTGATCATGAACAATCACCATACCAAGTTTGAAGTTCCTAGGCCTTAAGGTTCTTTAGTTATTGATCGGAAACCGTTTTTGCCTACAAGGTCAATGTGACCTTGACCTTTGACCCCTTGACCCCAAAATCAATAGGGGTCATCTACTGGTCATGACCAATCACCATACCAAGTTTGAAGTTCCTAGGCCTAAGGGCTCTTTAGTTATCACTCGGAAACCATTTGGTCTACGGACCGACGGACCGACAAGTGCAAAGCAATATACCCCCTTTTCTTCGAAATGGGGGCATAATAATGTTTACCTTGTGAATTAGTCGACACCTCTCTAGAAACTAATGATACTATGTTATAATGATCGCCATCTGTATCCCTCGACTCATCATAATCTCTAGGAGGCTCTGGAGGTGTTAATGCACTAGCACCACTTGTGTTTGCTATCTCTGTAGGAACAATACTCCCTTGTGATATCACATTAACTGTATTAGTAATACCTTCACCTGTGGAAATGCTAGCACCAGCAGATGAATTTCCAGCACTTAATTTCCTCACTTTTACAACTGTAGCATATTCATCCTGAATAATTTCTTCTCTTGGAGAGGGTGGAGTGTGTGTCATTTGTCCACTATCACAATTGTTCAATTTACCTGATTTGTTCACTTTGGCATACTCAACCTCCCCTGCTTTGTTCACTGTGGCATAATCGTCATCCCCATATTCAGGTATAGGATTAATATTTCTAATACTTTCATTTACATCAACATCTTCCACAACCTTATTATATGGATCATCAAGTTCACTTTCTGTATCACCAACTCTAGCATATGGGTCAGTCTGATTTGACACATTTCTTTCTTCATCTAAAACCATAGCATAAGGATCATAAACTTGTCCTTTAAAACTAGTGCTTCTTGGTTTCTTTCTCCCACTTGACCTTGCACTACCTGACCCATCATTGACTGTATTATAAGGGTCAAGGTCATCTAAATCATCTTTTACAGTATTATATGGATCATCTACTTTTATCTTATTATATGGATCATCTTTAATCTTATTATACGGTTGGTCACTTTCTTTAATCTTATTATATGGAGGATCATCTTTGATCCTGTTATATGGTGTATCATCTCCTTTAATTTTGTTGTAGGGATCTTCAAAGCTATTTGTCTCAGTCACTTTGTGTGTTGGTGATTTTTGTAAGCTTTTATTGTGAGAGGTACATGATGGTTTAGATACTGGTATAACCATGACATCTTGTGTAACTTGCTCATACATTTCATTGTTTTTCACTTCTGCATAATCATTTTCATTGAGTTTATCTTTGGATAACAATATTTTCTTTTCACCACCTTCAATCACTACATGATCATAATCTGATCTTGGGCGAACTTTTTTCTTAGTTGCTTCCTCAATGTGATCATAATCATCCATTCCACTTAACTTTTCTCTCATTGTTTTACTGGAATCTATTGACTTTGCAATATTTTCATTCTCTCTATGAACTACTGGTGAAGAACTTAAACTACCATGGGTGGTTACTGGAATATCTGGCAATTGTGAATGAGAATGTGCTCCTTTTCTTTGAGGTTCTAAAGAGTTAACAGGATTTCTCAAATTTGGTACATCTGGTAATGTAGAGTGATCTCCCTTTTGATGGCTTTCAGTATATGCTGGTATTTCTGGTAATGCAGAGTGATGGCGATTTTCTTTGGTCTTGTGTATTGGAATGTCAGGAAGTTCTCGACTTAAAGTTGTTGGACGAGGGGAAGATCCAGAGCTTGTACCACTTCTCCTGTCTGCTTTACTGTAATTGTAGACAAAAATAACAATACTAATTTGTCCTTTAATCAATTATTAGATGGTGTATAATGCTACTCTTTTGTAAAATAACTTCTAGACATATGCACCAGAAGCCAAAATTATGATAAGAACATGTTTAACCTTTTCACTGCAAATGAAGGCCATGGTTATATGTATATAATACCTGTATATAATATTAGTATGATTGCAAAACACATGAGCCACTGCTGAGTGGGAGCAACACTACATTTTTTTTACTTTTTCTAAAAGCAAAGAAATAAAAGGTTTAACCAAATCTGTAAAAAATAAATAAAGACAAAAATCAGACTTGTTGTTTTGTCCAAGTATTTTACATCTTAAACTGTGCACATGGTCCTAATTTCATAGTTGTACATCAAAGGACAATAAAGTAGGTCACTTTTCCTCAAAATCCAATTCAGCTGATAGCTCCAAGTTGACCTAAAAGGGCCATAACTCGGACAAAAATCATTGAACCAGAAATGTTGATGACATGCACAGACTAGCCTCAATACTGACCATTCCTGTAAAGTTTGGATGAAATTGCACCAGCAGTTTTTGAAAAGTAGTCCAGACAAATGTTTTGACAGACAGATAGACAGATTACATAGAGGTGATCAATATGTCACTGCTACTTTGTAACAGGCAAAACAACAAGAACTGTCGGAGGACACCGACGCTCGACTATTCGAAAAAGTTGTCACAAGGGTGTTTCATTGACTATAATAATGCTTAACAATATGAATACCGTAAAATTCCTATTAAACGCCCCCGGGGGCTAAACATTTTCCAAAAGGGGGGCTATTATTACAACACAGTTTTTCCTAAATCCAAAAATCATTGTAAATACATTTAGTGTTAGCAAGTGTTGGTAATAACATTAAAAAGTGTTAAGATTTTAAAGTTCATACTATAAAATAAAATGGATTCTGAATGATTTGAATGAAATTATGGATTTACTCATGAGTTCAGCACTGATGAGTAGATTGTTTTTCTTATCAAAAGGCCTGGGGGCCTTTATTAGGGGAGGGGCGTTTATTAGGAATTTTACGGTACATAAAATTGTCCGAAAAGGTACAAAGGCTTGTTATTAAGATGTTTTATTGAGTAAATCACTGCTTTATTATTATGAATGCATAAAATTGTACCAAAAAAGGCACAAACCCTTCAGTAGTTATGGAGATACCTGCTTACATACAAAAATTTAACCAAGGATTTCTAAGTTGAAAAAAGGGCATAATTATGCAAAAAAAGCAAATCAGAGTTATGGGACTTGTGCCAATCATGTAAGATAATCACAGAGAACAAGTGTGTGAAGTTTCAATCCATTCCCTTCAGTAGCTATGGAGATACCTGCTTACATACAAAAACTTAACCAAGGATTTCTAAGTTGAAAAGGGGCATAATTATGCAAAAAAAGCAAATCAGAGTTATGGGACTTGTGCCAATCATGTAAGATAATCACAGAGAACAAGTGTGTGAAGTTTCAATCCATTCCCTTCAGTAGTTATGGAGATACTTGCTTACACACAAAAACTTAATCAATAATTTCTTAGTTGAAAAAGGGGCATAATTATGCAAAAAAGCAAATCAGAGTTATGGGACTTGTGCAAATCATGTTAGATAATAAAAAAAAAACAAGCGTGTGAAGTTTCAAACCGTTCCCTTCAGTAGTTATTGAGATACTTGCTTACACCTAAAAACTTAACCGAAGGGACGCCGACAAATGGGTGACTGCATTAGCTTGATTATTCTGTTCTGCGAATAGTCGCGCTAAAAATGTAACAAGAACACCATAAAGGCTGGGGAATATATGCCCGAATTTAAATTTGTTTGAGTTATCAAAAGTAAACTTTCAATTAGGGTAAAGACCAAATCAAGAATCTTGTCTGATAAATGATTTATCATAAATATCCTAACTTTTAAACTATCTGACCTTCAAGTTGGAGGCATTTTTCACACTAAATGCATGATTCATAAAACTTTTATAGAGGTCATCTAGGCAATGTTATATGCATAGTGACACGTGGTGGTGGTGACACGTGGTGATGGTGACACGTGGTGGGTGGTGACACGTGGTGGTGGTGACACGTGGTTGTGGTGACATGTGGTTGTGGTGACATGTGGTGGTGGTGACATGTGGTGGTGGTGACACATGGTGGTGGTGACACGTTGTGATGGTGACATGTGGTGATGGTGACACATGGTTGTGGTGGTGACACTGGTTGTGGTGGTGACACGTGATTGTGGTGACATGTGGTGGTGGTGACACATGGTGATGGTGACAAGTGGTGATGGTGACACGTGGTGGTGGTGACACATGGTGGTGTCACATGGTGGTGACATGTGGTGTCATGTGGTGGTGACACGTGGTGGTGACATGTGGTGGTGACATGTGGTGGTGTGGTGACATGTGGTGTCATGTGGTGGTGACACTTGGTGGTGACATGTGGTGGTGACATGTGGTGTCATGTGGTGGTGACACGTGGTGGTGACATGTGGTGGTGACATGTGGTGGTGACATGTGGTGGTGGTGGTGACATGTGGTGGTGACATGTGGTGGTGACATGTGGTGGTGACATGTGGTGGTGACATGTGGTGGTGGTGACATGTGGTGGTGGTGACATGTGGTGACACATGGTGGTGACTCATGGTGGTGACACGTGGTGGTGACACGTGGTGGTGGTGACACGTGGTGGTGATGACACATGGTGGTGATGACACATGGTGTTGGTGGTGACACGTGGTGGTGGTGACACGTGGTGGTGATGACACGTGGTGGTGATGACACATGGTGTTGGTGGTGACACTTGTTGTTGTTGCTGCTGTTTGATAAACAACCAGGTCTTGTCCTTAAGTATGTTCTGTTATAATATGAAGTTGATCCCTTCAATAATAGCAAAGTTACAGCCAGTTACAGCCAAAACAAAAATTTCAATAATTTGAACTTCAAAGTCAAGGTCATAAATGAGTGAAGGTCAAGGTCTGTCTGGTTATTTTTAAGGGTTATCCTTGAAGATTATTATGTTCAAGTTTGAAAACAATCCATTCAAAAATAACAAAGTTACAGCCAATAATAGCCAAAAAATTGAAAATTTCAATAATTAGACCTTCAAAGTCAAGGTCATTTATGAGTGAAGGTCAAGGTCCGTCTGGTTATTTTTAAGGGATATCCTTGAAGATTATTACATTTTGTATGTTCAAGTTTGAAGACAATCCATTCAAAAATAACAAAGTTACAGCCAATAACAAGCAAAATTTGGACTTTTAACCTTGAAGGTCAAGGTCATTTATGGATGAAGGTCAAGGTTAGTGTGGTCTACTGAAAGGTCTTGTCCCAAGGGTTGTTGTGGCCAAGTATGAAGACAATACACCAAGAAATAAACAAGACGATCAGTGATCACATGTGTCGCCTCATGATGGCCAATTTCATGTTGGGACAAGTTTTGTGACAGACGGACAGACAGACAGACAGTGCACAACTAGACTTGGTACTGATCATTCCTGTAAAGTTTAGATAAAATTGCACCAGTAGTTTATGAGGAGTAGTCCGGACAAGCTTTTGTGTATCTGGCAACACACAGAAAACAAGCAATTATCATAGTATTGCAAGCAATCCATAAGTCCCCTACCGGTTAGAACCCCATCAACATTCTGAAGGGCATTGGCCATTCACTTATGTTTCAATTTTTCTCTATTTTAAGTAAACTTGTTGGAAAAGTTCTTTAAAAGTGATCACAGGAAACAGTTTTTATGAACAGACAGACAGACGGACTGAGGGACACTCTAAAGTTAATATTTGAAACATCCCTGTTACCAAAATATAACATTTTAAAAGCAAAATTCTTAAATAGGAGATAACTCTTGACTTAAAGATGCAATTTCATAAAATTTTCAGCTCTTTTTGACTTATCACAAATATTGTTATATTTCCCATGTATTAAGCCTATTTGTTGCCAAGGCAACTGATATTTTTTCAAAAAAGGAAGAACAGATAAGACATGCATAATATCAAGACTGCTATCTACCCATATGTCAAGTTTCATAAAAATATTTCCAGTACTTTTTGAGTTATCACTGGATTCAGTTTATGTGTAAAATTTGCCATATTTTCAGTATATGTGTTGCCATAGCAACCAGAATTTTCAACATAGGAAGAACATAAAAAGACGTGCATAATCTCAAGACTGCCATCTACCCATATGTCAAGTTTCATAAAAATATTTCCAGTACTTTTTGCTTTATCACTGGATCCAGTTTATGTGTAAAATTTGCCATATTTTCAGCCTATTTGTTGCCATAGCAACCAGAATTTTCAACATAGGAAGAACAGAAAAAGTCATGCATAATTCCAAGACTGCCATCTACCCATATGTCAAGTTTCATAAAAATATTTCCAGTACTTTTTGGGTTATCACTGGATCCAGTTTATGTGTAAAATTTGCCATATTTTTAGCCTATTTGTTGCCATAGCAACCAGAATTTTCAACATAGAAAGAAAAGAAAAAGACGTGCATAATTCCAAGACTGCCATCTACCCATATGTCAAGTTTCATAAAAATATTTCCAGTACTTTTTGCGTTATCACTGGATCCAGTTTATGTGTAAAATTTGCCATATTTTTAGCCTATTTGTTGCCATAGCAACCAGAATTTTCAACATAGGAAGAAAAGAAAAAGACGTGCATAATCTCCATACTGCCATCTATCCATATACCAAGTTTCATAAAACTATTTTCAGTACTTCTCAAGTTATCGCGGGATCCAGTTTTGTGGACGGACGGACTGACTGACGGACAGACAGACGGACGGACGGACGGACGGACAGACGGACGGAGGGTAAACCTAAAGTCCCCTCCGGTAAACCGGTAGGGGACTAAAAACACCTTTTTATCAAAGGGCCATAACTGGGCCAAAAATTTATCAACCGAAAACCCTCATTCCTCTTAAGTTTCATGACTCAAGGTCAAATACTTTTTGAGTTACG